CAGCCCCAAAGATGACAAATTTTAATTATCCAACTACACAACTCCTATAATAAAGTAATAAGTTTGATTGACTAAATAAGCTCTAAAATGTTCAAAAAAGAAACATAACATTTTAAAATACCTCGCTGATTATCTTAATTTATTATGAGCCATCACTGAATGCAATCTGAAATTTTGACAACAGTAAATCAGGAAACAGGTAATACTTACAGTCACTTCTGCCTGTGAATAATGCGACATCAAATTGTTATAAATAATACAACTACCTAACTTATCATAATATATTTACATCAGTTTCCTTTACTCCCTTGTGGTGACACTGGATAACAAACCTCTAACCTTTTACAGTTCTTCAGATACACAATTCTTTGACTGGTGACTGATTTCAAAACTAACCTAAAAATTGTATGTATTGAATTGTCCTTTATATGCTGTAAATTACAAACATTTTGTCAGCACATACATTCAATACTATGTGAGATTTCAGGTTCTCATAGTGACATATGTAAAGATGATGTTGCGCTACGTAGTCTAGTAGATATTAACCCGTATTTGAGACAGGCTTACTGCCTCCATCATCAGAATTATCATATCATCCCAGAAGACAGCCATATCTGCATTCAAGATTATGTCCAAAAACTTTTAAGCAATGGAAATATTCAAAAAGAAACTTTATACAAAACATTAAACTTCCAAAGTATTACTCTGTTTGATATCCTGTCCTTTGTGTACTGATAGAAATATTTGAACAAAACATGCTAAGTTACAGTTATTATCATAATTAATTATTATTAAGAGCCTTTGAGTTTTGTATACCACCCATGTGCAGTCAAAACTTCAGCATGTTTCTGTTGCCTGGAACTACATTACAGAGATTCATCCAAACATGAAACAGTTCAATCAAAATTTTCAGCCTCATAATATATCAGCATTTTATGCGCTGTGACAATAACTATGAGCTAGACTGAAACTTTCTACTCCTTATTCTTCAGTTTTCAAAACAAAATTAACTGCTTGCATTCTGAATTCTGTTAGTCTACATACACTTACTAGGGCAATTGAACTACCTTACTTTTAATATATGGCATCATCTCAAGGTCAGTCCCCCAGCTAGATCTGCACGAAATTACTTTTAAGATTTTTTTTTTGCTTACTGAAATTTTATAATCTTACTTGTATTTAACATTTCTGCTGTCTGTTCCCTTTAGATTTTATGTAATACATCTGGACCCTGTTTCCTATATTATCAGTTACATCTAAATTTTATTATACAGTATAACTGGCTTTTTTAAAATAATTTGTTTTGTTTCTAGTGCTTGTTTATAATTGGCTTTATTTGCCACTGTCAAGCATTTTCCTAAATGAGTCTGACTGAATTACTATTACATTTTTCTGAAAAGTTTTGAATATTCAACTTGCATAATATGAGAAATGTAATTATTTGTAGTTATTGGTTTGTATTTACAGAAAATATCACATTGGCATTCGGTTGTTCATTCTCTGTATCATGAATAAAACAACACTTTTTTCAGTTCTATCTATTTTGGCGAGAAATAGAATCATACACTCACAATTTAATATTAATACATTTGTTACTCGAGGCGGGGTTTTGAAAACAATTCTAAGAAATTAACTTGTGTGTCAGTGACTGGTATATACAACCAAAGATTTTCCCCAGTGTTTAATATACACAAAGTTTATCACCAACACAATATTTGGATAACTGAAGTGTTTCATTAAAAATATATCTAAAACTGTCCACTACCGTTGCATCTGCACGCTCTGCGATGTTGTACACACTAACGATAGTACGATTCACATCTGAGTACATTCAAAACATATACTGTAAAAATATAAACTATTGCAATGGAAACAACATTAATTTCTGTCATCTGTGGTCTTCTGGGTTGTGATAAAGTGTACTCTTTGTAGGTGGCTACCGATGTTTTGGAGGAATGTTGGTAACCATGTACAACACTACATGACATGACAACCCAGAAGACTACAAATGACATATTCACTGCTCTGAGAACATCAAATCTCAACATTAATTGTATTTACAAAAGTTTACTGAAAATTCAACTATATATGTACAAACTTCTACAATGAGGCATCCAGTACTGTCACACTTCTTCCAAAGTAGGAGTCATGATCAACTGCAACCATTAGGTTCCAGTACTGATAAATAGTTTAAAAAGTCAACAATGATATACAATTACTTACAAAATAACATGTAATAAGCATATACAATATTAAATTATAAAGTGACTCCAAAGAGTTAAATTATAGGCAGTCCCTCAATTGCAAAGGATGCATGTACACATTAGTGCACATAAAATTTTGCACTTTCTCTCATTTGATCACACACACTAACACATAGAACATATAAGTACAGATGATATGAACAGAAATATGTACATTCTGAGGATGGTTTAGTGCCAGAACTGTACAAGACATCCACCCTCTACAACATACTGGGAGGAATACATTTTGAAAAATCTTTTTATAATCAGAAAATTCAATTCCAGAATCTGTCTTATAATCCTATACATGTTACTTTAATACTTTTCACAAATCAGTAATACAAATCCATCTTGCAAGTAAAATACTTGTACCTACAATCAAAAAATTATAGTTCATCATATGAAATACACACAGTACTTCAGGAATAGGAGCTAATGAAATAGCTACTTCTCAAGTGAAGAATTTAAATAAACAAAAGTCATCAAGAAAGGTAGAATTTGCAATAACAAATGAAAATTTGAATTAGTTCATTAGAAACTTCCAGCAGTGTTACATTAAAGCAAAGGGGAACATGAACTTGCATGCACTTCACTTCTGTGATTATGAAAATCAAAAACACAAATCCAAACAAGCACATGTCAATGTGACAAACATTACAAGAGTACAGGTTTCCACAAACAAAATTACACTGTAGACTAACAATGACTTCCCATTCTGACACCAAACCATGATGGAACAAAACTACACAAAATATGCTTCAGGCATGTCTATAAAAACAGAATTTTCTAAACAGAAATTGCAAGATTTGTAAATGAGTTAAATATATGGTACTGCATGATGACCCATAAGAATTTATTTCTATTTCCAAATGGCAGTGAAAGGTAGACCCGAGAGTCAATAGTTATCACATCCTCCAATCCACAAAATTAGTAGCACAATGTCTTTGAATGAGGGAAGAGACATGTCTTGTGCTTGCAAAGCTGCAGTGGCCACATAACCTCCAAATTATCATCATTTATATAAGACCAAAAAATAAGAAAAAAGAGCAATTTTCACCAGTTCATTATCTAATAATATAATTCTGATTGTCAACTGAATTTTCTATCAAAAATCTTTATACTCCATTCCAAATCATCCTCCCTCTTGGTACCATACAAGTTAAACTATATGTAATGAAGATATCCTACCAAAAGCCTGGTTTGATGCTACTTTAAAATAAAATTGATCTATTTACTTCTGGTATTGCTTTATAAGGATTTATACAATGAATTCTCTGCTAGAACATACTGACAAAACAGAAGGTTAATGTCTATGAATCCATTTCTAAATCATTATTTCTGAGAAGAATTCTGTGTGGATTGTCTAAAAAGAAGAATGAAATCTAAGCATATGGTAAAATGTCTGTTCTGGCCCTGCCTTATGTCATACATCATAGCTATTTTTACATGGATCACTTGCTGTTTGTTTTGTAATAAGAATGAAATGTCCACAAATTTAGTTATATTGTAATTCACTGGGAAAATTCAACACTTCAAAATTTAAACTGTATGAACAGTATTTCACTTATGTATGTCGCAGATATAATACATGTCTTAAATTTAAGCAACTTCTTTTCTTGTCCTATATTAATACCACAGATACACTCAATGGAAATAAGAACAATGCGCTGCATATGCATCCACACTGTATCATAGCACCGCCAATATGTAGCCCAATGACCACTTGCTTCATTTCAAATTTGTGTATACAGAATTGTAATTGAATATTACACAAAAATTAATATAATAAATTACATCTTTTAAGACAAAATACAGTAATTTGTATCCATCATGGAAAATTGAAGATTCAGTGAAAAAGCACATTGGTGTCAGTAAAATACTCTTAAAATATACTCATATATATCATTTCCATGTACAATATAAACTCCAAGGCTTTGTAGATGTAAGACATGGAGTGGGGTCAGTTGTCATCAGATGATGATGCACTAAAACAAAAACATTCACAGGAATTACAAAGGGAGTGTAGTATGTGTAGTATTTACTCCAAAGATTTCTGAATCTCATCCCATAATTCTATTCTTGGTTTCCACTGCAAATTCAATGGTACAGAGTATTTTTTGAGCAGTTAACAGAAATTCAGCTTATAACCATTCCACTTTCTCTACTCGGTTTGCTCAGCTGCTCACGGGTTTATCTCAAGGGTCGCTTAACGGGCTGTTGATCGAAGACAGCTCACAGAGGTAGATAGTCAGTTATGAAGTCAAAACCTGGTAAAAATAATATGTTCTAAAAATTTAGAGTAGAGAAATTCAGATTTGCTTGCATCTCTAATTAAATAATATTACAATTGAAGTTGAAATGAGTTTTCTTTCATATGTGAAAAGTAGAATTCAGAGGAGCTTTAATGTTTCTAGGCTTTTGGGCATGAGCTGAATATGTAACAATGTTAATGCAAGCAAGATTCAAGGAATTATTTTGGTACTGTAGCATAAATTTTGGTTATTTAAAATTAAAAACAGAACACTATCTCTTTATATATAAAGAAATCCCAAATCTAATTGAAAATTCTGATATGAAAATAATTCACAATGATATCTCTAAAACTGCATAGACTCAAAACCAAGAAATTTATTCTGATATTTAATATTAATTTCTTTAGTTGAGTCACAAATAGTTAAAAGGTTCAAAACAAGACCAACCATTCTCTAGTCAAAACTGAATGTGTCATCAAGCAGGACTGCATGTAAAATAGCGCGCACACTTACCGATCCCTTTTTGTTTCGGTCCCCTGAAGTGGGCTGTGCATGAGCATATGGGCGGGTGTGACCATGTAACATTGCAGCAACAGGGACTAGATTCTGCACATGTCGCTGTTCATCTTCATGGAGATGATGAGACAACTCTTCACTATAAACAGAATAAAACAGCTGCAAGCTGTATCAAAATCAGTTTTTGTGGTGGGATACACACATGACCTGTAAGATGAATGGCAAGGCGCATCACAAGGTTTCACATCTATAATAAATTATGTTAATTTTTACAGAATGTAGTAAAATGAAGGATACATATTTCTGATGTCAACAAACCAAAAATAAAATGACCTGCAAGAAGTAAACTAAGGAAGAATGAGTTTAATATATTTGTTACTTCTTCATTATTGGTGCTATATATAATTTGAGCACTTGAACCCCCCCCCCCCCCCCCCCCCTACAATCGCGGTGTTCTTTCTCGACAGGTAGCAGAAATCTTTAAAAGAGAATCAATCCATTCTGAAATCTATACCTTCACACAACACAAAAATGTGCAGCTTACACCATGCAGCCGCTGAAATTGGTACATTTCCTACCAACAGTTTTTGAAACGTAACTAAAAGAGAACTTGAATGATGGACAAGGATAAAAAAGATGTCAACCCTTATAAAGCAAGGGCAGAATAACTTAATTGTTTTCAAAACCAAACACAAGTAAACACTATCTAAAATGGTGTAATTATGTATAAACTGGTCACATTTAGTAACAATTCCTTAATTTATCCATTAGCAATTGTGTTGCTGTTTACACATAACCCAACAGGCTGTACATTACACTACACAAACAAAGATGGTGGCAGAGACAGATATATATATAAAAATGGTGTGCGCATAACACTTGAAGTAACTGACTACTTTATACACCAAGACTAGATCACTGTAGGAGAAACACAATATTTAAAGAGATGAGAAAAGAGTCCTTTCATAATTTTGTCATACAAATGGAATAAATAATGCAATACAAGATGTTACTGCTGTTAAATAAATTACTGCTTTTAATGCAGGAGTGCCTCTTGAGAAAAATCATGGTATCTTCTCTCAGCGAGAGGCACCTCCACATTTTGGTCAAGTTAAGGCTTGAGTAAATCAATGCTATAAAAACTGTTGCATTGGTCATCATAGTCTGATACTCGACATCAAGACTTCCAGACCTAACCCTGCTTACTTTTATTTATGGGATCAAATGAAAAAGATGACTTACAGGACCAAAATATACACAAGAGAGGACTTCCTGCATCAGGCTATGAAGATGGTTGTCTTCTAGGTTGCTGCACTGTGTAGTCTGGTAGAGGTTTACTGTCATTTCAGAGGTGCTTGCCACCTCTATTATATAATCAGGGCTGCAAGACTACATGATATAACAACCCAGAAAAGTGACCTTTATACTCGCCACCATATGAGCATGCAAGCAAACAAAAGTGCCATAGCTGACAAGTCCTCCCGTCCAAACACTGATATTAATACTTCATGCATATATGGGGACTTATGGAGGAATTTCACCAGTTTTTGTGATAAACAGTTTACCTTCTCGGGTAACAACTTCCAAATCTGATACCACATACCAAATATTCAGAAAGGCACATAACACAAGTCTGTTGGAAGTGAAAGGCATGTTTGTCTTATCTAATTTCAGTGTATAAAAGTATGACTTTATGACTGAATGACAAATTATGTGCCAAAGTTTAAAGTTGTTCAGAGATTAAAAGATAAGCACATTTGAGGGATGGTGTGAAGAACATTTAACAATCAAAAAGTTATTTTGGGTTGGCTTCATAACCAGTGAGGACAGTTAGGGTTGGCAGCAATGACAAAGTAAGCAAGAAATATGAAGCTACAGAAACCAAGTAATTCAAATACAACTAAGAGTACCACATCTGAATCTATGAAGACACCAGTGTACTTCAGGTTACATGCATAAAAAGCAAGCAATTGCTTTCTCTCTCTCTCTCTCTCTGTGGATGAAACAAACGACTTATAGCTGTCAGATGTGTCACTTACTCAGACGTGATCTCCTGCATCTGTTTGAATTCCTCCCAAGCCTGTTCACTTTCTTGCTGCTTCTTCTGGTCTTCTTGAAGTGACAAAGCCACCAGGTAACTGACAACACACACTCAAATTACCCATATTGTGTTAACCCCTTTCCAATCCGAAATCAGAAACAAAACATAGATAGGCTGGAAACAATATCACTAACAAATCTATTGTAATTTTCAGACAGATCCATACTGTATATCACTTTTACCAACAGCAAAGTGCAAAAATATCCCTAGATGGCTGTCTTCTGGGTTGTAGCACCATGTAATCAGGTAGAAGTTTATGAGTACTTACTGCCTGATGATGGAGGCAGGAAAGACCTCTGAAACAGTGGTGAACTTCTACCAGACTACATGGTGCTACAACCCAGAAGACAGCCATCTTCAGACTCATGGCCATTAAAACCTCAATCCTACTTGAAATCTATCCCAGTGCATAAACATTACACCATGACAGATCAGGGGAAAGAAGGTAAAGATCCACACATTCATAACTTGGCCCTAGATAAATTAGTAACTAATGGACTAGAGAATGTGTGGTTTGGGTTACAGTACCAGCAGTGGTATTGTGATTTTTCTCTTTATAATTTCTGATCCAGAACAACTGGATCCCACTCAGAATGTTTATCTGACTGTCATCAATTGTGGCACATCCCTGTTGTCCATAAGCTGGCTCTGTGTTAAGGAAGTCAGAGCAGCAGTCTGATTGCTCCCTACTGTCTAGTGCTGTGATTAGGAATATGTACGGTTTATTCAGACCTTACACACTTTCATAGCATGGTACTATGCATAAAAATAACTTTACTTTTACCAATTTCAATTATTAACTTTCGAAAGGCCAGAACTTCTATGTAATTAGTGACTACATAACCTATAAACTGAGGATGGGATAATAAGGAAACAGCCTGATGACTGGATGATTAGGGGAAAAAGACATGTCTTTCATTCAGAATCTTAATCAATGAGTCACAAGGGTACAAAACTACCTTAAATTTTCTACAGACACTATGGAGAACACAAATACATATGACTTCATCTGCATCACTGCCACACACTTATAGTTTATGGCTATACAAATAAATGCCTTTACCCACTGAACAATCCTGACACTGCCAGAGTTTATACAGTATTTGAATGAAGTGTGCACAATAAATATCATATCTACTGTCTTGCAATTCATTTGTTCACGTTTTATTTTAAACTATTCAGTGGGCTTTAACATAATTTGGTGGTAGGGGCAGATATGCATTAAATGCTATGTGGTTAATTTCATTTCAAACACAACTGTTTAACGCTGAACAACAACACACATTCCGATTTCCAGGACAAGCTGGACGCCGTGTGCTAAAAAGTTGTTTGACCATCCGCAACAGAGCTCACTCTTGCCACCATGTGACTTCCATGTCTGTCTAGTGCTAAAATGCCACAAATTCAGGTCTTTAATGTTTACAGCCTTGGTGGTGCAGTAGTACCAGCAGCACAGTTATTGTACAGAGGTCGTCCATTAGCTGGTACATCAATGAGATGCCTGCCTGGATGCCCATGAGGACTTTTCTTTAACAGTCTCTATTCCTATGTCCAGGTCAATCCACAAACATGTTTCATCTTGTACTTTATGTAAAGCTTAAAGTGAAATGTACTAATTTTTTTCATACAAAAAATTACACAAAATGCAAAATATAGATTTCATAAAGTCAACATTTAAACAAATTTCTTATGAAATTCACAGAAATCTAATTGCTTTTACAAAGTGTAATATTCTTCCTACTATTAATAAACAGTGAGGTAGCAGTACTGCGGATTAGTTTTCAAGAACTGATCTATATCTTCAATAAATAAAAATCAATACCAATAAAGGTACTGAAAATAACACTGAGTAGGTTGGTGCAATAGCATCATGCTAGCTCTGCAAATCAACAAATCATCTTCACAGGTGCAGAGCATCAACTACAAGGCTCATCAAACAGAAAAAACAAAAATAAGTCTTAACCACAAAAACAACTAAACCAGTCACATTTTTCTAATTTATTTTCTGTTAATTGGTGTGACTTGTTCATGGATGCCCCTAGAATAATGAAATTGTTAAAATGAAAGTTTTTGTCAACATTTAATTGCACTGGAAAGCTACAAAATAAATAAAGCTGGAAAATACGCATTTTCACATCATGAAATCATTATGACTGCATGCTGAACTGAAAGGAGTGGAGACAAAGACTGTATTTCTACCATTTATATATACTTTTGCCCAAGTGAGAAAACACTACATTTACAAAACTGAGTAAACATAATCACATAGAAGAATACAATTTATCTGAAGCTGGTACAACAATAAACTTCTACTTGTTAGAAATTTCAATTATATGAAAGACAGAACATATATAAAACATTTCTATGTGCACATATTGTTTGGAAACAAAATTACCGGCAGTCATTAGGAAAGCATATTCTACTTTCTATGACACATCTTTCCAAAATAAAGTAAGAGATTATAAATGGCCATATTCTAAATTATAAAGTGCAAATTCAAAATATTCAGGCTTTTTTTAAAATGTAATTTATTATTTATCTCTAATAAACACAATTTTCCTCAGTTCCTATGTATTCTCATTAGTTCACGTCTATTATGTTCATATTTACTTGGACAGTTTTAATAAAACAGAGAATTAAGACAAATTTCATAATGGTTTTTACTTTCACTGCTTGAACTGCTGACACATATGGCTGTCAGCTGTACAGCTTAAAATACTTGGACCTTAGGCTGTGTGAACGTGAGGGCCATAGTGAATGGTAATTCGTGACATTATTTTTGAGCATCTCAATATCCTTCTTGAAACCAATAAATTTCTATACTCATGACCAGAAGTATTTCTCCCAATAAATCTGACAAATTCCCATAAATGATGTATGACAATGCTCATTACACTGAAAGAGATGAAAATGAAGATACCAAGGTGAAAATCTAATAATTATAGACATAATTATAAACACTTTAATGACCAGAATAAATTGTAACCTGCAGGAATGAAAATTATACACCATTCTAAAATCTGAAGATGATTTTCCTATAGAATGTTGCACTGTGTAGTCCGGCAGAAATTAACCAACGTTCCTGAGGTATTTACTGCTGCCAACATTATCATCCTAATGATGGAGGCAGTAAGCACCTCTGCAATGTCAGTCAATTGCTACTGGAACTGCTGTGCAATATATTTCCCACCACAAACAGCTCAACACTAAGAGCCAGTGTCATGTAACATGCAGACACGGCAAATGCAGAAAATAAACATAATCAAAGTGTAATACAACACTTCAATCTGATCCAAATACTAAGATCAATGGAGCTGAAATGCATACCAATGTTACAAATGAATGTGATGATAAGAGTGAGAACTGCCTCGCTGCTTTAAAATACTACAAATGAGAAATGTTCTTAAAATAATTCCATAAAAAGTATCAGATTTTCACGTAAATATTTATTCACCTCTGTCTATGCAAAACTCTTCATCCTACTTCAATAGTCAACAACGATTAGTAACTATATTTCAAGAACTTTTGCATCCTGGCATTACAGATGATAATAAAAAATTCTAAAATAAACTGAACACAATATCAAAATACTGCATTGAAAAATGCATTAATCACAGATCTTTTAAAACAGCACCATTTCATTTGGAAGCGTAATTTTTATTTCAAATATAGCAACATTTACTGTAACAACATTATACAGCACTATATCATAAGCAATCTTCTGGAAAAATAAAAATATGGAAACAAGTAAAAACTGAACAAACCATAAGGACTACAACCAACCCTTTCAAGTCCAAATTATCAAATAATTGAATTTTAAAGTACATGGGTTATCCCTGTCATGGAAAAACATTAAGGAAAAGATATTTACATCAATACATTTTTAAACTGTGGAAATTACTTCTAGTAAACTTGAAAGGGTTAATTAGAATGTTGTCATAACTTACTAATTAATCTGGTATGACTAGAGAAAGGACTATCAGCAAAGAAATAAATTAATGTTACGTAATAAATAAAATAAAATAAAATAACACAGTACACGAATGTGTTAACTATACCATTACATCACAGATGGCATGCATGAGTGGGTACCACTAATGCATCTTAGCTGAACAAATCCTCACATTCCATTTTCACTTTATTTTAAATAAATTCTCTCAGTAGGATTTGAGGCTTTGATGGCGAAGAGTCTGAAGATTGCTGTCTTCTGAGTTGTTGCGCCATGTAATCTGGTAGATGGACATCTACCAGACTACCCAGAAGACAGAAATCTTCAAAATTCTCTCAGTTCCTCATGTAAGTCATACATGTATCTCTGTATGAAGTAGCAGTTCTGTTGATGCTGAGTCCATTTTGAATGACAACTTGTTGAAAATTCTTGAAATTAAAGCACTAGATTTTACAGAATTCACTGCATGAATGACAAGATACATAATTTTTTAAACCTGAGGGTAAGGTCTTGCAGTAAACACCTGCTTAAAAATCATGCAATGAGTGCCAACAGCTATTTGAGCTACAGTTTTTATCAAAATCTGAAGGCCACATCTGCATCCCAACAAGAAAGTAGTTGCATCAATGCAAATGGCATTTGGAGCCACAATATTTATTAGATCTTGAAGCCCAGATCTGCAGCCCAACAAAACAGCAGCTCCACAGTGCAAAATTCACAACAGTTTTTCTATTCAATGTGTTCTTCAGAAAGTCAGACACTTTTTTAAAAATATCTCTTGCAGTCACTGTAGTTTCCAAAGACTCCCAAAAACAAAAACTTCGTTTTTATATTCTCATTTTGAGCATACTTCATGTAACAAGAAGCTGAGCTAAAGTTGCAACATATATCGATTCAATAAAATCTTCTCAGGTGATCAATCACATCAGATGGTTAAAAGATGAAACCCAGAAGATTTTATTTAGTTAAGAAAGCTTCAAATCATAATTCTTTTTGTTTCATCAAGATTCATAATTAGCAAACTATTTGGACTACTTTTTATTTCATAAGCCACTTGTTGTAAAATATGACTTATCTTGAATTCTTTGCATGATTGTGTAATTTCACAAAGACCGTGGATACAATTTAATTAAAATCACTTCTTATCAGGACATAAGGAAGTCCTAGTGAGTGGCGTTTTTCAGGCTTTGCACTTCTTTACACAACGAAATACAAACTTAAAAGGCAGTAGAATTTTTCTGTTAGTAGGACCCACATCTCTTGACGTCTAGATTTCTTTACATCTTTAGCATTTCTTTTAAAAATATCTGCACCATGATCAGCAAGAGATCCATATTTTGTTCTCATATGTTGTAGTAATTCATTTAATTTGAACGACTTATTTTCCAGCACCTCACAGCATGTCAAGCACACTGCAGTCTTTCTCCTCCATTAACAATTAGAGGTAACCTTATACTTTACAAACTCTTCTTTATATTTTGTCTCATGTCTTGCAATGGTTCCACCACATTCAGGTTACACCACAAACAAATGCAAACAACACAAACGCCAGTGATATATGGGCATGATTGAGCTGTCAAGTAACCCATAAAAAATTGTACCACACTGAAGTTATATTTCAGGTCCTCATGGCAATGAGTATGAAAATGGCCATCTTTTGAGGTGTTGTGCCAAGTAGTCTGGTAAGACTGACTGATGTTTCAGAGGTGCTTTCTGTCTCCATCATCAACGCCTGATGACTACAAGGACTAGACTACAGAAGACAGTCACCTTGGACCAGACTACTACAGCAAATTGAAATAGTCAGTTGTTGAAAAAGAGTCGGGTATAATCACTGGAGATCAGAATGTCATTGCCGTCAATGTTAACATTCAGAGAACTGTGACGAAGAACGATTCGATTTCATACATCTACAAATGTGCAAATAATTCACTGGATCTATATACTATGCATATTATAGCTTAATTTGTGGGTATGAATGAAAAATAAGTGAAGTCTGTTATGAGATTGCATTGATATATGGTATTTACCACACAGCTACCCTCCTTCACAACACAAATGAAGTCGAAAATCAGGGAAACTACATGGCAAAAACAGCGTATGTCAATGCAATCTAAGTACTAAATAATTTTTTCATGTGCACCCATGTTCATTTACAAACAATTAATTGCTTTTGATAAATTGTTTAGGACCAATCAGGATGTCCTTCCCCATTCCCCCATTTTCGATCACAAACCACTGCCTCTCCCAAGCTCTGTTCTTGTGTCTATTAATTATCCAAACTCACTCATGATTGATTTGCTGGTCTTCAGATGCATCGACGGCGAGTGCGCGATATGGCCCAGACGCCTTGGGTGGCACCGTCACAAATCGGCCATCTACAAACATGCCATCACCCTCTATGTTTGATAATGTTTCCCACACTACACGAGGTTCATGTAAAAACCCCTGGTCTGTCACCAACTGGAACAGTTCATTCTGCAACCAAAGTGCAACCAATGATTCATAAGTTAGCACACAACAATCGTGGCAGATGTAAAAGCAGGGAGACAGGCAAGTGGTGAATCGACAGCTGGATGGGTGGGAAGACAGCAAGCAAACAGCAAAGAGTAAAGCACGTATGAATTGAAGATTTCTGTCTTCTGGGTCGTTGCGCTGTGTAGTCTGGTCGTATGAATTCTTTGTTCTATAATGCAACATCTACAGATACTTGGTGTTTGTTAATACATCACTTTCATACACTATTTGCCACTTTCCAAGTGTTTCTTGGACTACATGTTTTGGCTGCACACACCCATCATCAGTTTCAACGTGTCTACGTAGTCATTGCACTCATGTTAAAAATCAAGTGTTACATTCATTCTTGGTTTAAATGCTTAAAATGTATTATATTTTAGAAAACATGTTATTGACTATTAGGAATGAAAATAACATTTCGTTCTTAACATGAGTGCAATGACTACACAAACACATGAAAACCTGATAATGGTCACATGTAGCCACAGCTTGTAGATTGACAAACACTTGGAAAGTGATAAAAAGTGTGTGTGAGAACTATGGTAATAGCAAACATCAGGAATCTAAAGAATTCTTTCCCATGTTATAAAACATAATGCTAACTTATTAGGTCATTAACCTTTAAAGTTTACAATAATACTTTATCAGTTCCTAATAGCAAATACCAGTGTTTCTTTAAGGTAATGCACTTAAAATAGTGTAGGCATTTCAGGTCACCAATATCAAGCAGTGATTTTAAAGATTTGTGACAATTTGGATATTTTCTGGAGAAACAAGCTGATTCTGCGACCGTATTCAAGTAGACGGTAGGATTACCAAATCTACGAGACCGCTGAAAACGGGCAAGTTTTATTGAGAGTATCCACAATGTACCATTTTATTTGAAGACTCTAAATCAGCCTCCAAAATATTGTATATTTTTTAATTTCCAAACAACTGACTGTGTTCAATAATAACACTCCCACGACCATATAAATGTATGTAATCAGTCTGTAGACTGTTTATAGCCAGTAAGAAATCTGATTTCTGCTAAAGTTTCACGGGAATTCTAAGAAAACATTCAACTTATTCTAATACTTCAGAGATATTAATTAACATAACACAAATTTCAGTAAAATATTAACATGTATCACTGACACAGCCACTACCACAAAAATCATAATCACAATTCTGTCAACCAGAAAGTCACCAATATCATAATATAACATCATCACTACAAACATACATATGACCAATTTCACCGCTACACTGACACCACCATCACAAGTCAGACATTATTAACCTTTCATGCACTGCACTTACATTTAAACCACCATAATCACCAAACCATCGCATTAGGACAAAATTACCGACACCAAATTACAGCCCATGCTACCATCACAATGCCTATTCACTCTTAAATTCCATGAACCTCAATGCTACTACGATCCCGGCAGTTCTCAATCTTTCTACATGACATAAATTAGCTAAATCTGACATTAAACCATACATGAGAATTCTACAACCATTGCTTCATGCAAACACAGTATGTGCTGCCAAATTTGTGGCCATATTGAATTAGTCCTGATACTGCGCAACAAAATTACTTTCCTTTAATATGTCATATACTAGAAGCTGGAACAGCTGTCAGGAAAGTGAATAGGCTATGTCCTGGATGACCAGGCTTCAATTCCTAGCAAGGCAAGATGACGGAATTATTTTCTGGGGAAAATCAAAAGACAACTAAAAGTATTTTACATCCAAAAGAAAATCATTAGAATAACGGCAGGAACTAAAAGAAGAGCCTCATGCAGGGAATTGTTTAAAAAATTTAATATTTTTCCACTAGCCAGCAAATTCTTATCTACTATAAAATTTTGTGATTCCCCGTTGTCGTCAACCAATTTGTCGTCAAAAAATGACGTCATCAACAATGTCAACAAATATTTGTTTACACATTTGTTTACACTGCATTGTTGTGGAACACAACAATGTCGAGTAAACAAATATAACGCTTCACAACAAAGAAATCAAAAAATATCAAGCCAGTCGCATTATCACTGCTCCAGAAGCAGCACTTAGCATTCTTGAATATTGACTGACAGTTGGCCTAAAACATCAGAAAAGTGAAAGAAGACATTATCAAGTATTTGAAGTACCAACTCCAACAACTTCAACAAGGTAAACTGATACTCATTCGATATATTACGATTATGAAAACTATTATGAAAACTGACTTTATGATCAATTTTAAGAAGAAGATTTGCAGGGGTGGGGCTGTACGTTGAAAGTTGACTGAACAAGAACTGTTGGCCTCTGAACAACGACGTCACCATGAAAAATGACGTCATCAACAATGTCAACAGATATTTGTTTATACACGGCATTGTTGTGGAACACAACAATGCCCAGTACAGACAACAATGCCGAGTAAACAAATAACGCTTCACAACAAAGAAATCAAAAAATATCAAGCCAGTCGCATTATCACTGCTCCAGAAGCAGCAAAAGCCCCCGGGTGGGGGGGGGGGGGGGGGGGTTAGTTTAGTTTCATACTCAGGGGTTAAAACACTTGAATGAGACACTAAACTAATTCCCCTTTGGGACTAACCAAGGCTGGTTGCGTTTTACAAACTTGACCAATCCCCCCTAGGAGCTCCGAAAGGAGCGCCCTGCTCTAGTTCTCATTATAATTTGTAATGGACAACACAAAACATTGCAAACTCAGATATCCACAATATAAGATACAGATATAACTTTCATATGCTAAACAATACACTCAATAAATACAAAAAAGGAGTTTACTATACTGGAATTAGGCTATTCAATAATCTTCCCTCCACCACAAAAAGTCTGAATCATAATATGTATTTACAGAAAAAAGTTTATATAACATAATACTCTCTGTACCATTAATATTTCAAAGCAGCTGTATAATCTCCCATTGTGGGTGTAACTGTGGCTGTACAAGCAGTGTGATGAATCTGCAACAAGGTCTGAATTGCTTATGTTTTCATACAAAACCAATTTATTCAATGATTTGAGAAAATTAATATTGAAGGACCTGCTTTTTACCTTTTAATGCTGTTACATGAAATACATGCAGACTTAAGTAACATTAAGTTGGACATTTACTGAAAGCATGCGAAGAAAGCAAACCAAATTAATGGCTAACGAACTCCACTCACCAATTCCTGTGACATGCCCAACAAACTTGAAGAGGCTTCATCCACAGGGCCACACACCTGGTGATGAATGTTAATGTCAACATTGTATACATACTACATAACAATATAAATAAATAATATTTGTGTAGATAGTGCAACTTCCTGCACAGTCAAAAGGAATTAATATGTTTAGACAAGCCATTAAGTGTAAGATTTGAGGTTTTCACAGCGGTGAGTATGAAGATTTCTGTCTTCTGGGTTGTTGCGCTGTGTAGTCTGGTCAATGTTAACCAACGTTTCAAAGGTCATACTGCCTCCGTCATCAGGGCAATGAATCTTATTACTATAAAAATTTGTGATTAGTCGTTGTCGTCAAAAAATGATGTCATCAACAATGCCACCTTACATTTGTTTACTCGGCATTGTTGTGTTCCACAACAATGCCGAGTACAACACAACAATGCCGAGTAAACAAATAACGCTTAGTACCAAGCCAGTCGCATTATCATTGCTCTACAAGCAACACATCGCCTCTGAACAGCAACATTAGACTATTTACGAAATGAAGAAAAGTGATAGACGTTACCAACACCAACAAGGTAATCTTCCGTTAAGATATAAATAATCGACCATTCACGAGCAGAATTAACGCTGTGATAATAAACGCTGAGGATTAAATACAGATTGGACACTCTCCAGAGCTAATTTCATCTACCTCACAACCTTCTTACCGAAGATACACTTTAATACAGTTCTACTCTTACTGGAGATACCCGGTTCACATCTCGGCCTGCTTAGACGACTGTCAGTGTTTTCGCGGTTTTTCTCAGCCACTAAGTGGCAGCATTGCGCTTTCAAGTAAGCCACTACCGTATTCTTCCAAATCCGCACGTATTCAAAACAGGTGTTCATCTTAACATATGTCTTATGCAGTTAAATGCCATTTTAATAACCGAAACCTTAAAGACCATCCAGTTAACCGTATGAAGTCATCTTTTATCTCTCTTGGCGTTGGATGTGGCTAAACTCTACAGTTGAATCATTGTTACTAATTTTCCTGTCGTCCAAACAAAGGAACAGATGTTTCATTATTTTATTGTTTCATGTTGATAATCGTAGATGACATAAGGGATTCATGTGAATGTTATAATTTTTCAGAACCCAGATTTTAACACAACTTATTGAAATGTAATTTCCGTGTTGAAACCAAATAACTGTGGTGAGGACATTACAAATTTAGTTTTGATATGTCGACTGCCTGCCACACTCCTTGCTTGGGACTACGTATGATGAAGCGTATTCCTGACTGTTGCGTGCTTGGTTGTCTTCTGGCTTTCTGAACTCCCTGACACTGTCACCATTGAAGTCACCACATATTCCACACAAACGTCCTCTCATTCTTCTGTCGGCCTGAGAAAAGAGATAAAATTCCGTGTAAGATTTGAGGTTGTCACAGCGGTGAGTATGAAGATTTCTGTCTTCTGGGTTGTTGCGCTGTGTAGTCTGGTCGATGTTAACCAACGTTTCAGAGGTCATACTGCCTCCGTCATCAGGGCGATGAATATGAATATAATTATTGTTGAAAATCCTGTAGGAAAGAGACTCCTCAGAGGATCTGAGCATAAAATATATTAAAATGTGAACTAAGTTGGAAGGATATGGCTCAAGATATGTACTAGTGGCAGGCTCTTTAATACAGTAATGAACCTTTGGGTTCCATAAAGGATGGTAAATTTCTTAACAAAGTTTTGATCAGTAGCTAACCTATTACAACAGAATCCACAATGATGACCAACAATCATTTGATTCACAAATGGATATGGTCTTAACTCTACCTGGAGGGAACATTTTCTATTAATTTAACAAAAGGAAGAATCCTCAGAAATTAAAAAAAGTTCACAATTTTCTTTCGCACTTTTATCAACAGTCAACATTTTTATAACTGTCATGTAAAATTCTGACACTGACAGTTAAATAAGTATAGTAACCCTTTGTTTTTTAAAACATATTTCCATCTGCCAGATGATACAAATGAGTTTTTCCATATTTTTCAGCTTCAATATACATAATAAAATGTGTTCCACATCATCTAAATCATGATGATTTTTAAATGTATCATACATTACTTTTATTATATTCAGGCTTACCGCTTCCATCATTGCACAACAAATATTTTAGACATTAATTATGTTCCTTTACAACTGAAGTAATGAGATTGTCTATAGCATGACTGTACAAAAACCAACATCACTACATATCTATAATAAAATAACATACTACAATTTACAAACTATGCAGTTAAGCAATTCCAAACTTCATTTATAAATCATAAATTAAAGTTAAAATAAAATCACTACAAAAAAGCTTACCTTCTTTTTAAATATCGTACTGAAGTGATTATTCCGAAATAATACAGCAAGTTCATCATGCCCCATAGCTGTATTCAGCTCACACAGCCCATGGTAAGTCAACTGTGAGGCAGTGCGCTCAAGGAACTCTTCTGCTACCAATGCTTCAACAAAATCAAAACAGAAGTCATTTACTCAAAATGCCACACACCCACTTAAATTCTCTCTCTATATGCAACACAGTTATGGTGCCTTAACCACGTTTCACATCACAGATATCATTATTCAATCCCCACACATTTCAATACAAAGTTCTTGCATATAAAATTAAAAAGGAAAAGACCATAACTGCTTTCAAGATCAACCTAACCTACATAAATACAGGATGAGTCAGAAGTATGTTTAAAAACATACTTCTGACTCACCTGTATATCACTGACAGTGAAAATAGATCTAGATAGGTAGGCAGATAGATATAGCAAGCTACATTCTTGTGAAACTGTTCTATCCATGACACACAGTGTGCTCTTTTCTTCTGTCAGAACACTTGCATCAACAACGGTGAAAATGTTAACGAAGCAGTGTTAAAAAGACAGTGACTGAACATAAACAATAACGTGTCTTGAAGTGTTAAAACATCACAACCTCTGGAAAAAGTAAGGATAAGACAGTAGTTCTCAGACATAATGAACATGGAAATCAATAATACATACAAATAAAAAGAAAAAGTAAAGTTTGTCCCACTATACGCCATGTAGGCGTTTGGGGTGAGAGGAGGTATAGCTCCTCTCTTCCTTGACCTCGGCACTAGATGGGGGTGAGTGGTCAGCATCACGCCCCGGCCGGCTTTACCCTCAGGGAAAGGACCCCAGTACCCATTGTAGAGGAGGCTGGGTGGGCCCCAGAGCCGGTCTGGACGCAGAGGCTAGAGGAAAAATCCTCTGCCCCCGTCAGGGATCGAACCCCGGTCGTCCAGCCCGTAGCTAGTCACTATACTGACTGAGCTATCCCGGCTCATAATACATACAAATACAAAACATAAATTACATCTGAGTACCAGTAACTTCATCTATTAAAAGTATCATGTAAGATGATCATCCAAACCCCATCATTTTGGTAACTGGCAAGTAATAATTCCAAAGCCACATTTCATTATTACACTACTGACTTACACTGCATGTAGAAAGTAAAGTAAATCCATCCCACTATATGCCATGTAAGCACTTGGGAGGAGAGGAAGAATAGCTCCTACTCATTCTCAACCTTTGCACTAGATGGGGGTGAGTGATCAGCATCATGCCCCAGCTGTGCTTTATCCCCAAGAAAGTACCACGGTACCCATTGGATAGGAGGCCGGGTGGGCCCCAGAGCCGGCCTGGATGCCGAGGCTACAGGAAAAATTCTCTGCTCCCGCCGGGAATCAAACTCCAGTCTTCCAGTCACTACAATAACTGCGCTAACCTGGATCTTACACTGCATGCACAAAATCTAAATAACAATATATAATTGCTTACCTTCAGTAACTAAATCAATCTCACTTGAACACTTGTTAAGGATAATCTTCTCAACTATTTGGTTGTATCCCAAAGACCCAAGTGCATTTACAGTATCGTGACACTGTGGGTCAACAAGCCATCCATGATAAAGGGTGATGTTGAGCAAATCGAATATTATACATTCTGGTGTGTATTCAAAATCCTGTACTCTGTGGAAGAGACAAGAAAATAGGATAAAAACAATCAAAAACTTCACAATTCCATTGTCCAGTCTATAAAGTTGTTACATAGCAGTAAAACCATTGAAAGTAGTCCTTTCACTGCATCAGCTTTTAGAAATACATTTTCTTTCCACAAGCACCTCCCAGATCAGCATAACCAAGGAAGTTAGTGAGCCTATAAACAATTTAAACTTACCCTGTGAATTTGACATTGACATCTAATCCTGTGTGGAGTCTTGGAAGAACAGCAATAGCATCATGCATATTCTGCTCATAGTTCAACTGACGGGGCAAAGTCAAATTCTGAAATAAAATTTAGGATTAATATGGTGCAAGTGAATAATATTATGTTACTATTACCCTGAATGTTAAGGCATAATAATTACATTCTTGTTTCATATAATAAAACCTTATATTTGTGTTTCCAGAATGTTGTTTCACAACAGTTTACATCTAACTTTGTTTAGTCCCACTAATTTTCCTGCCATTTCAGTGCTTTTTGTTCCAATAAAATAAGTGTTGTTTAATTTAAAACTGCCAGGTCTATCACAATCATTTTTTTGATTGATCAACTTTTCATTTTGAAGATGGCCATCTTCTGCACTGTAGCACCATGTAGTCTGTAGAAGTTTACCAACATTTCAGAGGTCCTTACTACCTCCATCATCATGGTGATAAGTCTTGATCTGAAGAGCATGTATGAAGCTTCGACACAGACAATACTATGATAACAATGATTTTTGCATTTCCTGCAATTTATACATTCCCATATTTAACACAATGAAAATGAGTGATGAATTCTCATTAGCACAACACTAACAATGTATGTAATGATATACTGATGGTGAACCTAATCTCTAAATAATTCACATCAGCAATCAAATATACTTTTACCTCTGTTTTCAGTATCTGACTTCTAGGAGAGAGTATAAGGGTTAGAAAAACAGTGAAGGCAATTTGAATCCTTGAAACAGATGTCCATCAAAGCAAATATATTATGTGTTACAACAGCTGAAATGTATGACTAACAATCTGAAGTATCTAGTTGACACTTCAGTGAAGGACCAATTATCCTCAAATATTTCATGGTTATCCTTAGTCTCCCTCAGAAAATTCCAGAACAGTAATAAAAAACTACAGCTACTTGTTCTCACAACCTTCCAATTCATCATTCACATTCACAATACTATGTTTAATCTGATATTATCAAACTTTCAGCATTTGATTACTTAAACATTGTATAGCCTGCAACTGCCTGCAGTCATTTTACCAACAGTAGCAATGGCCAAATTCATGATAATACAACTTAAGAAACATAGAAATACATACGTAAAACCCTTCATATCAGTCCCTGTCATTACTGATCAAGAACATTCCTGTTCCTATGGAGCTCAAAAAATTTATCAATTCTCCCTAAAACGTGATTCCAATATAGCCTCATAGGATTTGTTTCCAAAACTGATTTCTCAACCAGTTCCAATAATGGTATACAATATATGGTGCTTACCTTAGGGACATTCTGGAGTATCATATCCCCAATATATTCCATAAGCTGCTTGGCTGTTATAATTTCCATAGCAGAAGGAAGCATGATCTTCCCTTTCAACAATAAAATGTTTGATATAGCGATCAGAGGACATGGTCCATTTTCATTTTGTGTTACTATGGGTGCTTTCCGGTCATGCCACACTATCCATTTTAGGTGGTAAATGCAATCATCTATGTCTCTTTCCTTAACACTTTTTAATGGAGGTGTACAGTCTACTTCTGTGCAACAAGGCTCCTTATGATCCTCTTCTTTGGGCGAGTCTTTGATAGAGATTTTATCCAACTGTTCTTCTATTTCTGTTCTACCTTCCAAAACATCTTCATTCCCCCTCTCTTCCTCTGGAATCCTCTCCTCCTCTTTCTCAACCAGACATGAATCTGAAGAATGGTCCACAGAAGAAGCTATGTGACATTCACCAACATCCTCAATATTCTGAGACTTGTCCTTGGAACCCAGACTGTCCAGATCTTTAGGCTCTGCCATTGTGTACCAAAACCTACAGATACAATACAATAGTTAATACTATTCAATTTCATAAATCATATACTACTGAAGATGGGTGTCTTCTTGGTTGTAATGCCCTGTCGTCTGGTAAAAGTTTGCCAGCATTTTAGATATCCTTACTTCCTCCATCATCACCACCCTGATGATGAGGGAAGTACATACCTCTGATACACTGATAAACTTCTACCGACTACATGGCATTACAACCCACAAGACAGCCATCTTCACATCCACCACCACAAAAACCTCAAATCCTACATATACAGTATTTACTGCCAATACAAACACAAAATTTACAGATTTTCAATTGTAATGCAAATATAAATTCAGTTTAACATTTTTAATTGCTGTATATACTGTACATTTGCGACTGGTTAAGACTATGAAAATAAATATATGCATGCAAAACTCTACAGAGTAAAGATATTCTTGAGAAGCAACAAGTCACTCAGCTAGTCAATAAATTCACTGCCTCTAATGGAACCAAAACATTCATTACCAAAGGTCTCAACCTTGGGACAATCCAGTCTGCACTACCCTCCCAAACTCCTTCTTTCAGATTAATTTTAATATTATCTTGACATTTACGACAATTTATTCAAACTGGTATCTTCTCTTCAGATTTTCTGACCAAAACTTTGTAAGAATTTCACATGTCTGCCTCTTACCAATCTTACCTTGTATTTATAGGTTAGGACGGACCACGGAATGCATTGGAGTTGAAACCACATATAAACGCCAATTTTATAAAAATACTATTCCTGTATTCTTGTAGCTGTATTGATATTACTTCGCCACTCTAAGTAATCTGTAAATAAATAGTGTGTGTTTAAAGAATAATTACACAAGAAACACCTCAAAATCTAATCTAATCTATGTACTATATACTTACAACATAAATTGATTAAATCTGTCATCATAACATTTCACATCCCTTTTCAATCATCAAACACTCAAAACCAAACCTCCACAATTTTACAGCACGGTTTCTCCCACGAAAAACTACGGAGACCCTCGGAGAAGGGAACGAATGCTAGCAGCACAGATTAAAACACGCACATACGCAACTCTGTACTGTCTGCTGATAATATCTCGTCACGTGTATACTGTGCTGCCATTGCTTTTTCCAGGAAGACTAAACTCCGTAATCCGTGATATATCAAGTGATTCATGTAGTGTGCAAAATCCCTGCATCGTTATATATTATTTGCATTTATACTTAAAGAGCTAGTTTCTACTCTTTTATTTAACTGACACAAATGATATCGACAACCCCAGACTACTTAGATATGCAACTGGAGGTCGTACTGTTACCAGAAACAACTCTTTATTAAATTCCGACTTTACCATGAATCACCTTTATCTATTCTCATAACACGATGCGTGTGTTATGGGTGATCCGCAGCATACAAAAGTTAAAAATCACTTGTAACATTCGTAATTGTTATGCCTTTTATGTGTCATGGTATCTATATTTGTAAATGTTATATTTTGAAACACTACAATTGAACTGTGCTGATATAACAAAATTGTCAGTTAAATCCAACCCATTATACATGCATATTAATATTCCCATCCATCTTCTGAATATTATTTATGTAACTATCTGATGATGGCCTTTGAAGGCAAAAAATATAGTGGCCTTTGCATCTTGTAAAGAAACTTTAAAAATTAATTTACTTTGCTTATTTTCACTTCTTGGTGACACGATGTAATCATCTGGGAGAGAATGACACAGCAAGGAAGTGTCATCAGAGTAATGACAGGCATTGAAAGGAGTATCTTGTAGACAGTTATTTAAGATTAATTTACTTATGCACATAACCTCAGTGGCAGAGCATCACTTTTTAAAAAGTTTTAACCTAATCCCAAGGTGGCAATTTAATATATATACCATACAACAAAACTATGCAAATCTGAGGTGACAATTATTAAAATTAGGAAATAAAAGAGAAAGGAAATTTAACTAAGAAAAAATGGTTGGTAATAACTGAACTTACTTTTTTTCATTACACCTTCTGCTGCAGTTCCAGGTGACAATTTTTTCAACGTAAATATTACATCTTTTACTGTTTCTGTGTTTTTGTGAGAAAAGGGGTTGGTCTGCCTATTTCAATGATTTTATTCTTGGTAGAAAAATCCCAACAAGAAAATGACTGTTTTCATAAGTCCTTTAGAACACAGTCACAAAGTTCATCTTTCATGATCCACAATTACAAGTCATGACAAGGTACACACATACAATGATAATGCAATGTTAATGATGCAGCATGCTGCTAAGTAGTGTATTAGCAATTGAAGTTTGGCTAACAGCTTGGAAGGTTATGAAGTCCCTTTTCCCAATAACTAGGTGGCTAACTGTGGCTGGCTGACTGGAGCTGCTACAGATTTATTTTATCTGACGGTTCTGTGTGTTCCAGTCTATATAACTTTTCTTTCTTTCATTTTTCAAAGTGTTAGCCACACTAACATTGTTAATTTGAATGTTCTGCTCCTCTGTATGCTGAATGCTAATGCCGCTATGTCAGGAATGAACTATTCAAAAATGTAGTTATTTAATAATTTTTCATCTACCATTGAAGTTTTGATCATTAAATATTTAAGTCAGCATTAAAAGATTTTCTTGTCACATGCCTGCTCTCTGGAATAATTCACTTAAGATGGTAAGTCATAAGTATTGTAATTATTTGTGAAGATTATATTTCTTTGGCAATAATTACTTTGCTGTGTAATCACATCCTTATAAAATATCCAGTCTATAAATAGCTATAATAACCTACAATGTATATATGTACTTAACTTATTTATACCTATATCTATATTTGTATTAAGTGCATATGACATATACTGCATTCTGTACATGAAGGATTTATGGACTGTAAATTATAATTATAATTGCATAGAAAACAAAGATAGTAGAAAATGAAATTCAAAACATTTTTGAAGTGTAACTGGGATTATTGACAAAAAGAATTTCAGTATTAAGTTTGCTCAATATTTGGGTGAATGCTAGTCTCACATCCTCACTTAATGGTACCTGCACCTTGTCGTGGTGGTGGGGCTTGAGTACCTCAGTGACCCCAAGAGCTATGCTGGCAGTAGCATAGCTACTGGTAGGGCCTCCCTAGCCAGACTGGTCGAGGGGGAGAGGTCAGACTAAGACAGGTACCCTGGTCCTCGAGGTTGGTGGTTGGTCGCAAGGCTAACAACCTTGAACCGTAAAAAGGAGTGTTTTGAAACCTCAATCAAAGCCTCGGACAGGCGGACTCCGAATGGAAGAGGAGAATTGAGGAGGCCATGGACCGAATACAGACCGGAGAGCCATAGAAGAAGAAGAAGCTAGTCTCAGGTAAAGGCATCAGGTAATCCATTATTTTGTTTTCTGTGACAGTATGTTATTAAAAATGATGTGTTTGTTGTGCAAAGAAGACAAGTTTATGTGGTGCATATTTTGTTCCTCGGTACTCATGAATCAGACAGCTCCAAAAATAAACAAAGACATTGATTTTGTTGAATGCAGAATGCAGTTTGGTAATCACCTTACTGATGGAGGTAGTAAGTACCTCTAATATGTTAGCAGACTTCTTCCAGATTACACATCACAACAACCCAGAAGACAGCCATCTTTGTACCTGCTTTCATGAGAATACGAAACAATATTATTTGTTTTGTAGATTTTGAACATATAATGCAATTATCAATATAGTTAAGGCTTAAAAACAATCAAATTACAGTGTCTTGTGTTTAGAAGAAGGAAAATAGTTCTGGCTAAATACCAATACCAAGTAAGGAAGTTACACATGTAATGCGTGCAAGGGAGAGGCCTATTTAAATTTAGCAGGGAACAATTTCTTTAACATCTTCATTCTTCAGTTTTGTTATTCCTTTCCTTTATCCTTTGATAAATATCTCTCTTACAGAAGTAATTCTAAATGCTTCTTACTGGTAGCAGAACTTTGAAATTACAATATCCTGCTATGTAGCTTCTTTATTAAGAACACGGTTGGTCATAATATAAATCATCAATCATACATTGTAACCTATTATTTATATATATTATTGACATAACAGACTTGTAGTATAGACAAAGTATTCACACTGTGTAAGAATACTTCTACATAGTTTATACTATTTAATCTAATAATAGTTTCAATAGAGAGGAAACAATCATTACACAGTTTCATCCACTACTCATTTATTTTAATATTATAATTATCATATCAGTCATAAAAATTAGATTTAAAGAGAAGTACTTACATCCACGAGTACAGAGAATAAATAAAACTTCACATTATGTTACATTGGGATTTTACTGACAAGAATGAATAACCAAGAACACTATATACACTATGCTAAGAATTATCAGAGGAAGCATAAGACAAAAGCTAGAAGAAGGTCCACTTCTATTAATCTCTTAATGCCTACTAGGTGAAAATGTAATTGTTCCTTTGTAAATACAGACTGAGTACAAATAGGACAACTTAAATGTCACATTCAAGTGTAAACAAACTCAGACAAGTTTCTAGTAATATTTTTTTATTACCATAACATCAGATTTAATAAAAGTTTTATTAAAGCCAAGTTGCCTGTACTGTTATTACCCACGCAGAGTATACCAGTTTAGTGTGATCAGGCAGCACCATGATATTTAAATTCTGTGTGTCACTGACAGATAGTATTAAAACATTTTACATGCTTCAAATTCACATACCTTGTGGGTAAATCGTTCTATTCATAATAAACATCAATAAAAATTTCCTTTGAAATTTAACTTATACAAGTACAGAATATCATAAATTAAATATCAGTTGGTATAGTGACTGGCTACGGACTGGGCAACCGGGGTTCGATCCCCGACGGGGGCAGAGGATTTTTCCTCTAGCCTCTGCGTCCAGACCGGCTCTGTGGCCCACCCAGCCTCCTATCCAATGGGTAGCAGGGTCCTTTCACGGGGGTAAAGCACGGCTGGGGCGTGATGCTGACCATTTACCCCCATCTAGTGCCGAGGTCAAGAATGAGTAGGAGCTATACCTCCACTCCCCCCCCCAAGTGCCTACATGGTGTATAGTGGGACAGCTTTACTTTACTTTACTTTACTGTTTTGATATATCATTTATTAGGTTTGTCTACAGTTGCACTTTTCAGACATTAATTGATGCACCAAAATAATATCTGCTGGAAGAATAACACAGTTTATCATGTTTTGACTTTTTACCTTCTTTCATTAAGTCCAGGGTATGCTTCAAAATTCTGAATGCTTTAAGCTTTAATTACTAATTTACAGTATTATTAAGAGCATATATAATGTGAGGAAATTCATGATACATATGAAATATACACAACCAGCATTTCATTAAAGAATGTAGTAATAATGACAATTTTGTGAGGTTTTGCTGTTTTACTTTCGAACTTATAGTTACTTATTTATATTTTCCCTGTTATTCAACACTTCACTTACAGTCCATCAATTAACAATGTATGATAGCCGTAACATTGTGGTCAGTGGGAACATAATATGTTTAGTCTCTATCAAACCATCATACAATTTTAACTTTATTACAATATTTACTTTTAATTTTAATATTTAATGCTAATTAAAATTATAGACTGAATATTTTACGGGCCTGGATTCATGAGAATGAGTCACTCCTCCCACAAGTTTGAACAAACCCACAACAAATAAGTTTGACAGGAGCTTTGTCTAGAGAACCTATTATATATTCATTATGTGACAATTTGTTCCGTAACAGAGTCACTGTTATACGGGTTGTAATAACAAAAAAATTCAGCTCTTCGAATTTAACAAAATATTTCACCAAAAAGTCTGGCAAGATTAAATTTTTGTGAGATCACTCGCATTCCACATTCATAGTGTTTAGTGCAAGCTGGAAAACAAAAATTACTCATGAAGATTTCAGTCTTCTGGGTTGTTGCCCTGTGTAGTCTGGTCGATGTTAACCAACGTTTCAGAGGTCATACTGCCTCCGTCATCAGGGCGATGAAACGTTGATTAACATCGACCAGACTACACAGCGCAACAACCCAGAAGACAGAAATCTTTGATAGCATGATGCTTTAAATTGAGGTAATATAATTGAATTTGCCTGTTCGGACTGTTAGCTAAGTCGTGAAGAATTTTCTTCTCAGTCGTCATTAATGATACAATGAATGCCAATGCATTCTCTACTGCAATGAATTATTTATGAATATTACAAGTCTGTTAAATACCAATGGTCCAATCCTCATTTCTTAAAAATCAAATTATTTATATTCATCTCAATTTTATGTGAATGATCTGCAGATAATGCTTGATAAAGCCAATCCAATTCTCTAAGTGCTATATTCAAAAAACTTTTAATATCTCTACCACCTACAAAATTTCAAGGAAAAGCCAGCTTTTATGTATTTGTCACAAAATAAGTTCAGTGTTATTTGAAATACTTTCATTGCTGTAAGCTACTAGGTTCAGTAAAATTATGATAAAATGACTATCAGCGTTCAAATAAACTAACCGAATGCATGTAAGCTGACTGATAACACTGTTACAGAAATATAATATAAATGTGTGGGTAGATTGTTACTATGACTATATTAAAAACACGGTGTTGATGAAATTCTTTTACTCACCAAGATTAAAATCTTCTTTCAAAGATAAAATTCTGAGACAAATATTCAGAATGTTCTCAATTATCTTCTGTGATGAATGAAAAACTTACTCATAAAACTTGGCAAGTCTTAGGCCTGAATTTAGAGAGTGTATATAAATTTCCATACGTCACTTTCATTAGCACTGTAACACACCATCACTTCTGCACCTTCCGTTGAATATATATAGTTCGGCATGATTATAAAAGAAACACTGGACATGACAAGAAAACATGAAAGTACAAGGAAGGAAACTAATATTTACTTGCAGGTATGTCGATCAATTAGAGTCTCGCAGTTCTTACATTTCACAGAGCAGCACCATACAAATTTGCACTGACATCGTTCCACATGTTTTATTACCTGAAATATATTGAAGCATAAAGTCAGTTACTGATAAAGTTACATAAAGGATGTAGAAAACTCATTAGATCTTTCTAAAGCGGTCCATCCGCGTACGAGTCTGGCTTGCGAGTCCGGCTCGGCTCGTGTTCCATCGAGCCAAACTCGTTTGTGGGCGGGGTGTCACGAGCCGAGTCTGCTATGCATATGCGGTGAAATATATCCGACCCCGGGTCAAGCTCGCCGAGCCAGACTCGTACGTGGATGGGCCACTTAAAAATCAAAGAATTTGGTTGGTTGGGTGACTAATTGGTGTGTGTGTCTACCTGATGAACTGACCAACTTCATGGTACAGCATATTCATCAGTTTACTGACTTGCGAGAGATATCACAAGCTTCTAAATAACAGACATGATGAATTCTATAGAGTTCTGATAATGGTTTATTACAGTTGGTACTTACAAACTTTCTCTGAAATATCATCACAGGTGATAATACCTATTATGTCCCTATATAATCACAAAGTAAATGACAAGCTACTGTCTAGAGCAGTGGTCCCCAACCATTTTGTGCCTACGGGCACATTTTGAGAGTTTATGAGATCGTGGCGAGCATCAACCAATTAACAAAGCCAAATTTTCTTTTCTCTGGATAAATAAGATATGGACACCAAATAATACACAAAACAACACGACGTTTAATGATTCCAGAAACCATGCAATCAAAAATACGTAGTTTTATAAGTACAGTTATTATTACTCAAGTGGGAAGTTAGCGTGATGTTTGGCGCTGCATTTCATCAGCCAGTTTTTCAAATTTGGGAGTGTAGGATGATGTTGCTGCTCGCAAAACAATTGTCAAGATGGGCGTCAGTAAGTAGAGATCTGCGCTTTGATTGTATAATGTTCATGGTTGAATGGCCTTCATTATCCAGTATAACCTCTTTCCGTAACAACGCGGGCGCCGCGTTGGGGACCACTGGTCTAGAGGTTGCCACTGTCACTGAGAGTTATTAACTTATGACAAGACTGCTCAATTTGGAGGGGGATCTTGGATGTCTTTGACAGGGCACTGTGCGTAAGTTGTTTATTCCTGAGGGCGCTGTAATACAAGCAAAGTCAACACTGATAATGCATGTATTGTGATGAATATGAACTTATTAGGTGTCTTTAAGATGATATATGCCACCTATTTCAGGAGCAGAAATGTAATGAGATGCAAGTATAAACTCTAACCTGTGTGTTATATCCCCGACCACAGCACAGCAAGTCACAACTGTCAGGCTCATCTGAAGTCTTGTTACAGATACGCCCTGATGTCCCTGGGATTCCCTTCTGAGGGTCATTCACACAGTAATTGGGTGACTTATGGATATGAACCAGGTCGCCTTTTCCAACAGGCAGACGTCGTTTGGTTTTGCTCTTGTTCTTTCGACGAAGACGTTTGCGTACTTTTGGGGCTACCTGCTTGCAGGTGAGAAACATGAATGAATTGGTCAGGAAGCCTAAACAGAGGAAACAGTAAGTAAATTTATATTTATGAATAAGGTAAGTGCTTCAAATTTGACGGATCCGACCGATAAGTTGGAGGGCCTACCTGAACGGCTTGTCGATATTTATGTTTCAGCGTGTCGCCAATTTCAGTGAATGAGGGCATTGTCCTCCAACATGTTTTCACTTCGCACGAGCCTGATATGCCGTGGCATCGGCATTGCATTCTCATCAATGATGAAACAACCTGAAACATATTTTAGAAAAAATCAAAATATGAATAATACAAAACAATTCCATCCATCTATAGGTTACTTAAAGATGACTTACCAGCTTCATAGATTACGCTACTGAATGCTGAATGAAATAACAGAATTAACTAAACATTGTGGAGATATAAACTGTCATCATAAATAACTGAGAAGAACCATGAAATGTCCCATTCATATCAGCTGACACTAGCCTGGTACATCCCAACACAAGGCAAATCTCTAATATGCTAATATGCTCAGTGCGTGAGTGTCAAAATCTGGTGTGTGTATGTAATTAAAAGCTTAGGTTGATCCCTTCAAATGTATAACATAAATCTCCATTATTATTAACAGAACATTTTGGGCTTTACATTGTGCAGTCATACATCTGTGAAAGCTGATACAGAGCTTAAATAAAATCCTTCTATATGATAGGAATCCAACCCCCACAATACTGTATCGCAATTAACAGTAATCACAGACAATCGTGCCTCGTTACACATTTCAGTAACTAGACGAAAACTGAAGATTTCTGTCTTCTGGGTTATTGCGCTGTGTAGTCTGGTCGATGTTAACCAACGTTTCAGAGGTCATACTGCCTCCGTCATCAGGGCGATGAATATGCCAACTTGCCTTATACTACCACCGGCCTTCAAAGAGTTAAAAAAAACGATGGCTTAACATTTCTGGAAGGATGGAAGGATCCTGTTCATAATATGTCGCCAATATCTTGTAAAGGAGACGGCGTAATAAAGAAGAAGAAGATTTCTGGCACGTTAGCCAGTATTTGATCATTGGGAAGGAGCCGGTGACGTCAGAGTCAGGGATTCCCCACTTGCCTGCGTAGGCACTGATGAACTCGGGCACTTCCCACAAAGAATTTTCTTTGTGCAGAAACGTATCTGGATTTTCATGTGGTCTGATTTTGAACAAAAACTTAATGTGCGGATACATTTTTTTGTAAAGCTACTGCAACTCCGTCCGTTCAGCTGTTCTCGAGGCCATAGCGATACTATTAGACTCGATTTTTACAAGATTCTTTTTCAACGAGACGAGAGTTTCCTCCACTCCTGCCACAAGTATTCACAGCGTGGTTTCAAAACGTATAGACAACTTTATATTGAACGATTCTTTAAAAAATGGTAAGTTCGATTAGAATATTATTTGATAAGGTGTGTTGTTGACTGATGTCGACCAACACGAAATTTGTAAATTTTTCTGTACCGGTCCCAAATTTTATCAAAATGCTTTTAGTGGATCAGAATATTAAGTATGCTAACTAACTAACTAACTAGATGGCTTACGGAACCCGAAGTTTCATCACCGAATTAACCAAAGCCCTCCACCGGACCCTGTCCTGGGCCAACAAAATTCATTCTCCTTCAACTCCTATCTCCCACAGATCCCGCCTGAGATTATCCTCCCATCTACGTCTAGGTCTCCTCAGCGGTCTCTTCCCTTCAGGTTTGCCAACATATTAAGTATGCGGTTGTGGAAAACAAGCTGAATTCATAAATACGGTGACTTTCGTGGTATTACATAAATAATTCATGGTAAAGCTGACCGCAAAGAATGTTGTGTTATTTTTTTTTCAACATATGCCTTGCAAATATGAATTAAGTTAAAATGTCCACATGAAACCACTCACCTGTCGCCCAGCTTCGTTATTATGCAGGTTCATTTTCATCCTCACACTCCAAGCTTTCTTGTTCTTCGTTTCTGGGGCAGGCTTTACTCTTTCCGGTGCGTCGACGAACTTGCGTGCGAATTGGACTCCATAGTTGAGGTTATCACTACAATAAACATGAACATCAAATTTAATTTAAAATCTTTTGTCTACTTCTGGGTTTTTGGTGTCGTGTAGACTCGTAGGTAGAAGCCAACGTTTTGGAGAAATATTAGCATCTACGTACGAGTTTAGACGGCGCCAAAGCCCAGGAGATCATCATCATCTCGACCGTAGTGAAAGCCACAAATCTCTCATAACATTAGAGTTTCTCACGAAATTTGAACAAGCGATTACAATTCTCGCGCTGTCCAAGGCCCTCACGGCTTCGGTTATACCAGTTCAAATCCCGCTAAGGGCATGAATACTTGCGGTCGGTCGATCTGTATGTACAAGACGTCTTACCATACGTCTGAAAGGATTCACTATTCAGAATTGGCTTTAAATCGAAGGCATAATCCGTGATAGTTTAAGAAAAACTTTTGGATGTGTCTCAAAGTTCAGCTACTTGCAAATGCAAGCAGCGTGTTGTTTCCAAACACGTATTGTCTTTAAGCACATATTATTTATATTATTTATGCCTCCAGAAGAAACATAATACAACAAGAATAAGTTATAATGCGACGAGTTATCTTGTTGTACAAGGAAAACTTTTTTTTTGGCAGGAAATACATAACAGGTGTTAGAAAACTTAATTTGGGTAGAAAAGGAAATTGACTTCAGAAAAAAAACAGCTGAGCTTAAAAAACTGGAAAAAACAACAACGAGGAGCTTCATGATTTGCACTTTTGTCTCGTATTGTTTGGGTACTGAGATTGAGAAGAATAATCTTTAGATACACAGGAAAAAATGAGAGATTTTACTCTGGCAGAAAATTGTTAAGGAAAACAATTACATGAGAAACTTATTCTCAGTGATATTTGAAATGACATTTTGTTATAATTTAAAATAAGTTTTAGATAAGCTTGTGTTATGACGATGTGAACTGGAATAAACTGGTTGTGATTCAGGTTAAACAGATGGCTTTGCTTATGACGTCGATGAGACATGGGGCTCGATATACGAAGTCTCTTGAACATATTTACATGTTCCGGTCAAGGAAAATTCTGTGTCACGAGGTCAGTTAATTGGAGTAAATGGAATCGGCAACAATCTTGAGTTACGAGTGAGAATTCATCTACAGAGGAGCACTAAAAAATTTTCGAATTTACATAACTTCAATATTTCGAAAATCTATGGACATGTAATGATTTCTCTTTGACATATCTTAACTTTTACTACAGAACGATTCAAAATTCCCTGTACAACAGTAGGTAATGTATTTCTTATGGTCCAAAGAGCTTATCCTCCACGGCACAACTAGTTGAAGGAAGGTAGTGACCATAGAGTCATGTGACCCACAAGTCTTTTGCATCACCCAGGGCGCGTGTGTGTACGGACTTAAAATAAATCAAGTCGCCGTGATTGTGTGGAATGAAGAATTTGTCAAAAAACGGAGTTAGGAATGCCATCTTCAGGTTGTACATCTCACGTTTATACCGTTGTCAGGACTAACGTGTTTCGCCTGCAACACTGACTTGCTGGTAGAAGGAAAACAAACGCATGTACTACGTAAACCAAAAACACTGCCCAATAAAGCAAGTTTTTAAATACTGCCGCTGTGGAATAATGTTCATAATTTGGATAGTAATCCATCCTTACCTGATATTCCACTCAACTCTTTGTTTCTTACTTCTAAAGAATTGGAACGAACGGTTTCGTCCCGATTACTGAAAATTTCTCAAATCTGCGGTTGTAAATACGAAATCGTTTGAGCCAACTAAACCCCCCCACGGGGGGTTACCCGCCCATTTACTCAAATACATTCGTAAGACGAAGGAAATTTCCACCTGTCTGGACTCCTGAGTAAGCATCAGTATTTATGTAAGATTTGAGGTTTTCACAGCGGTGAGTGCTCCTATTGGCCCAGCCCCACGCCTGCTCTCATTGGCTCGGGGCTGGCTACTCCATTCACACTCTGGCACCTATAAAACTAGCCCTACACACCCCACTGGCACATTCATCGCCCTGATGACGGAGGCAGTATGACCTCTGAAACGTTGGTAAACATCGACCAGACTACACAGCGCAATAACCCAGAAGACAGGAATCTTCATCAGTATTTATATTGGTACAATATCGATTCTCGAATAATTACAAGGAGCTGAGAAGATGAGATGCAACAGTATCGAAGGAAATATTTGAACAAGTAGGAGGGATGGATCCTGAACTTTTTTTGCCGTGGGAAATAGGTGTATACTTAACTTTTCCGACGAGCTAGTGATACGAGTGAACATGTGTTTTATATTTCTGCTCTCTTTGGTCATCACACTGACGTCACAGGGAAAGACGGCAACCCCTTTGTAACCTCACAGCAGTGGCGTGCAATACTGGGACCAGAAAAGAAAGAACATATTAATCGTGGAAAAAGTAATGATTAAGATTCATGAACAGCATGTTTCCCCGAAACGCTGGCACCTATCGACGAATCTACACGGCGCTAAAACTCAGAAAATTATCATTCTCACTGTCATGAAATCCTCAAAACTCACAGGAAATAAACAATTCCAAGGTTACGAAATTTCGTAATTTAGAGTAGAAATTGGGAGGCTGTTAACAGCTAGCCTAATTGTGACGACGATGTTTGGAGAAATTACGAAGCTTCCTTAGTTACAGAAACCACAGACGCAGTCCTCAATGAGAGCACACAGGGGAGACATTAAATACAATATTTTAATTACAAAAGTGGAATCCAAGCGTTAGGATTGATGCATAATAATTAACGAAGCTCAGGTATGTTCAAAAATGGTTTAACACTGGAAAAATGTCCTCGGATCGTATTTGAGCAACGACCTTAATGATGAAGAGTAGAGAACACCTGTGGAATGCAAATGTACTCCAAACAATACGACTTTTCAATATCGTTTCATTCTATTTTCATTACGTCGTAGTCTACAGTCGCCGATTAGGAGGCAATGTGGATATTTTGGAGTGAGGGAGTACTGAAGCTAATTTTCTAGAATTTAAAATTGTCTGTCAGAATTTTAGCAGAATATTGACTACGAAATGACAAAAATTGATTTTAAAAAATTACTTGTTTTCTTTATTTTACTGCAATTTATCTCTTTCTCTGGGTTCCTTTAAAAATCTATTACTGGGACGCTACTGGAAGATTCATTAAATAAAACCACATTCGATCAATGGGGATGGATGAACCGCCACTGGTTGAAACCTGTGGGGTCATGTTGACATTGCCGCAAGTAATACGATACACTGAAAGCCTGTCTGCTACTGAATGCCAACACAAAGTACGTTAGATAGAGAGTTCTTTTTTGTCAACAAAGCCTCCAATAGATAGATCTACTTTCCTCCCTCTGCAACATATTAGCCGGCTAGTTCTCCCAATTAGGAGACAGAACATCGAGTGTGGGCTTCATAATGAGCTCCCCTGAGGTTACAGCACACGAAAGCGGCCCGGGGGGGGGGGGGGGGGGGCGACTACTCTGTTAAATAAGCTCCCTATCCTGTCGCTTGCTTACCAGATTTCGGTTATGTCTGTATCCGTCGTTAAGTCTCTTTTTCCTTTCAAACAATTCAGAATTCCCTTCCCACTTGTTAGCTTTCTACATCATCCAATTTGTCCTCAAGCATTTGGTTTCTCAACGAAATGCTAATGAGGCAGAACCTCTAAATGGCTGTAGCTTGAACAAACACGGAGTCCAACAGATTCCGAAGCCTTAAGAACTCTTCACGAGCGCCGGTTGAACGCTATAAATGAAATAAGTAAATACGAGCAATATGGGCTTTAGCTTGGTATTCAGATTCGAGCTGTCTCCATCTTCAGGGCGATGAGTCCTGGTGGAGGCAGGAGGTAAATCTTTCACATTGTGGAGCACGAAAAACTTTTGACGAAACGAGACTCGAACCTTGCTTGAAGCTATGTCTTCTTCCCCGTACATCTTCATGGCGTGGTATTTAGTTAAAACAGCAGAGTCAAATTTACATTTTATACGTCATAAACAAATGCTGTCATGCGAAATTTCTGGATATATCACAACTTCAGCTAATGGATATGGGGGTATTGATGTACGTCCTGTACAGTTTACCAACTTAACAATTAAGTTTGATTGCAGAATATTTTATTTTAATTAGATTAAAATATAGGGTACAATGACTATAATATTTTTTTATGTGAAACTTAGGTCTATCGCATTTATGGAAGAGTATAAGTGAACAGTTTACATTCTGAGGACGTTTCCAGAGTGCCTCATTAATTAATTGTGCGAGCCATGATAAAGATATATTGTTTTGTGTAGCCCCGGTTCGTCAGCGTGCTGGATCAAGGTACATGAACCTCTATTATCCTATATTCCTAACGCTGGAACTTGTATTTATAAGTTTCTGTTTCACTACTCATTAACCCCATTCAGGAGTCAGGTAGCAAGATAAAAAAACAAACATTTCGTTACAATTTTCTGACAGTGTAGTATCAATTAAACCAATCAGAAGTTAGATGTCATCAGTAACGAACAAGAAATGTCACTTAGGACAAAAATTAACAAATGGGTGTCCAGTCTATGTCTCGTGTGCCATATATGTTTCCAAAAGTTTCTGTGTCCTAAGAATGAGAAATGTAAACTGCGTAGAATTAATGGAACAGAGACAAATAACCCAGAATGGTTATAAAATTCTCAAGGCAGAGAAGTATAAAGATCAGGACGATATTGACCTGATGATGGAGGCAGTAAGTACCTCTGAAACGATGGTAAGCTTCTGCCAGACTACACGGCTCCATTGTCCAGAATGTCTATGGATTGGACGTTCGGAGATCAGTCGGGGTAATCAGATGTCCCCACACCACGTCACCGCTCAGGATGAACATGAAACACTTCCAGCTCATTTTCCATTTGATATCGAAAGTGCTTTCCCAGGAGTTAAACGGCTGAATAATGAAGTTTTCCACTCGCATTCATCTAGAGTTTAGGTTTATAACGAGATGATAATCAACTTCACGCCGTCATAGATTTAGTGCTTTCAAAAAATGAAAATCCGTATTAATGTTTCCTGTATCCGTCTTAAATCAGTACGTTCTGAATTTGACTAATATTCTTAAAAATAGCGCATTGCCGCAAAGCTGACGGTGGTCAGGTAGACCTCCATAATATTTAAGCCAAAATAAGTAAACACAAGCATTGAGACATAAGAACAAATTACGGCGAAAGGAGAGAAAACGTGTTATATAAGTAAATCAAAATAAATCCTTGTAAAATTTTGGTTTTGCTTAAATTACTAGCAATATATGTAAATTATTGGTTGTTTTTTTCTACATGTAATAACGCAGTGATATTTAATTTATTTGCATAAACTTTGTTTGATGTATAAAATACGAAATACGGATCATAAAAATCCACATGGGACTTATTTCACTGCTGCATTTGGGGACAAGACTACATGTTTATATTTCGTTGTACTATTAGAAGTAATAGGACAGCGAAGATATCTGGTGACGAAACATGATGAAAAAAGCACTTCACATTTGTTGAAATAGCCTGCATGTTTACACATGGAGATGTTTACAAATATTTTCAAGTGATGAGGAGGTTGTTTTACACGCCTATTTTTACACCCCCAGACAAGCTCTTTTCATTTAAGCGTTGCCAACATTATGGAAAAACACTTACATATAAGAATATGGACATATAAAATTTAAATCCTTGGAAGTGGATAGTCTTTAACACCAATATTTAAAAATTCAGTTCCTACCGCAAAGAAAACAAGTCTCCATTACAAAGACAAATTTATAAATGTTGTTCAGAGAAATAATTGCTATTTATACCAAGAATTATAAGAAACTTATAAACACTTTCTGTAGGCAACATGCAGAACCACTGACTGTTAGAGGACGCGGTACATTTACGTACCACTGGGCTTTAAAGGTTTATGGTTTACCAAAGCGAATGAAACAAAAGGGAGTTTGAATGGAAAATCCATGAAATCCGGAGGTACACTGCACGGGTTTCAGAAACTATTTTTTTTATATTATTTCATTATCCGTTAGATTCATTCCATGTTCTTTAAAACACAAGGCGGCAAAACGCTCATCCACAACTACTGCTAAGAAGTAACTTCGTGCTGATAAGAATATACATGATAAAACCAACTCTGTAGTAGTCTGTGCCCATTTCAGAAATATTTGTATCTCAACACACACTACGGTAAATTTAATTTTTAATAAGCGTCGTTAAACGTAAAAATTGGCTATTAGTTTTCAGAACTAATGCCTGGAAGGGGTTCATGGTAGTTGGGTTATTGGGATTAGTTGTCTTGTTGTTAATAAAGTTAAATATTCAAAGCCTGACATGTGTAGCGAGCCTAAACCCTAAAATTTCGTTGTAATTATCGCGAATGCCAATGATAAAGGCGGAAACGTCGGTCCATTTCTACAGTACACGACTGTCATCTTCAATGGCGGAATTGCATTTATTTTCCAAATGCAAATGTAGATAAGGAAGTCACTGAATTACAAATAATTACGGAAGGATGAACAATATCTCACCTGCAACCTCCCCATTTCCAGCCCTCCGGGGTTTCCAGGCCATTGCCCGTTGAGTCACAGCTGCAATCTGTCAGGTTGCCCGAACTGCAGGCCTGGGTGACGGCGTGGACAACCCCAGCGCTCGTCACGGCGTATATAAAGGCCGTCTCCCTGCTTCCTGCACAAAGACCACAGTACAGATAACCCAAGGGAATGAGTCCAAGTTAAAAGAACATCACTGCAACATTGAACGCAAAAGACATGTTCTGGAACAATCTGTTCAAAGTTTACTAGGTATAATAGGACTCCAAGTTCCATCGGCGGTGAGTAAGAAGATATGTCTTCTGGTTCTGGGTTGTGGCACTGTGTATTCTCGTTGAAGTCTATATGAGTACAAACGATTTAAATCTACTTTAATCTCTATACGAGTCATTTCCAAAAATAAAACTTCATTACAAATGTTCATGCTAACTACAATTTGTATGACAACTCAAACTGAAATATCTTGTGAGACCTTTCACATTCAGTGTATTTTCGAAGCCTGATGATAACTTTCAAAAAAGTTAAAACATGTAGCTTCATATTAACTTTTACGACATATTAAACGCAATTGATGCGTGTAGACTGTCATTATTTCCTAGTGAAGCTTTGACCCACAACTGGGTGATTATGAAATCGTGTCGACATTGGCTCAGATTACAGTAACGTCACCTTAAATTTGCATGTGAAACCCATGTGTAAATCTTGTTTCAGAGTCGAATTGGTTATGCACCTGACTGTACACGGAATTTTTCCATTTATTGAACGTGACAAGTCTCATTTAGTGACATTTCATTTGATGAAGTTGGCAAGGCCAAAATTAGTTCACAGGGACTATTTCTGTTACCAACTGAACCGTAAAACACTGTTTTTGTTTCCTTCGTCTTGTTCAGCCATTGTAAAAATCAGATCCAGGTTATCAAACAATAGACGAAACCTTCATTGAACCCATAGGCCCAACTTAGAGTGGAAGCGTGTGGATGTCAGAACACCTTAACCTGACAAGGCCAAATTGTTTTTTTATGTGAAGTTACCGACAATGTTTGAACTCAAGCATGGTAAACCTCTGCAACAAGTTCAGTATTTCCGCGTAGCTCGAATTAAGACAGGAAAAATGAATGTAATGAAGTCGTCTCGGGTGTTTGACCGCGTCACTATCAAATAGTAAGCGTTTTTGGTTTCTCAGACTCTGCCCCACGCTGGTATCTTCTGAAAGGAAGACCACGTTTCCGATACCGAATCTGTTTCTTTCTTCCCCGTGTGAAAAGGTGGACAGGACCTTCTAATTCGACCTGAGACTGATGGTGGCTCCTTGCAACTGATCCACGATTTTGACGCTGAATTTCGTGAACTGGGACCTCGGAGCAAGTTACGAGCCAGACTTTTGCTGCTATGTTTACCAGCTGCTATCCACTCCAATATATTCAATAATATATATTTATATATTAGCGACAAAGCGTGACTAGGCGTACCTCCTTTGAAAGCGCGACGAGAGGACACCTTAAGTGTTAAAACATCACAAAGAATTTAAAAGCGTGACAAAGAGTGACTACTCGTGACGTATGGTAACAGCGTGACGAGATGTGGCCATAAGAGCCGAAAGGTGACGAATATATTATAAACTTCACCTAATCTAACAAACTAACCTAAACTAACGTAAGTTAACTTAATATACCCAAACCTAATAAACCTAACCTAACCTAACCTAACCTGTCGTAACTTCATCTAACGTATTACAAATTAGCAAAAATTAACCAAGCATTACGAAATATAACGTAAGCGTGCCGAAGAGTGAATTAGTGACCACGCGTGCCCAAGCGTGACCAGGCGTGTCATTCTTCGACTTCGTGACAACGGATCACCATATAAGTCGAAAAGTGACGAAGATTTACAAAGCGTGACCAAACGTGATAAAGCGTGACAAGGCGTGACCAGATATAAAGGCGTGACGAGAGGTCACCATAAGTGTTAAAATACGACGAAGATTTGAAAAATGTGTCCAAGCGTGACGAGGCGTGACTATGCGTGACGTACTGTAATGGCGTGACGAATTGTGGCCATAAGTGTTAAAATAACTAAAAAAAATTCAAGATGCTACCTAACCTAACAAAATTTACTAAACAAATTTAACATGACCTAAACCTAACCCAACCAAAGCTAACCTAACCTGACCCAAACCAACTCAACCTAACCTAACCTAACCAACCTATCAGAACCAAACCTGACGTAACTTCATCTAACAAATTGCAAAGTAGCCAAAATTAACGGAGCCTTACGTAACATAACGTAAGCGTGCAGAAGCGTGACCTAGTGACCACGCGTGTCCAAGTGTGACAAAGCGTTACCAGGCGTGTTATTATTCGACTTCGTGACAAGGGATCGCCATACATGACGAAAAGTGACGAAGATTTACAAAGCGTGACCAAAAGTGACCGAGCTTGACAAAGGGTGACTGGGCTATCTTTATAACTCGCCGCTTTGTCTAAGTCTCTGTTTGACCTGCAATGTTAAACAGGCCTTAAGGTGGGCTGATGTAATGTGTCCATACACATACTTTAATCCCCAGTAATTTTAACTGTGGAACACGTGCTACACTCGGTATAATAGCTTTTTATAGCAATCTCAACAGAGCATGGAGCCTCAAGAGCGATTCTGGCCGTATTGAAGCAAGACCACCCACTCACAGCTCCTTTCATTTCTCGTGCTCAACGACGCACTACTTAAGTCGGACGTTGATGAAAATTTAGAAGTTATTAATGATGATATAGTGAGGTCGGCAATAATATTTATGGAGGTGCCAGTTCACGCCACAAACTACGGCCCGGAAATACGGTCTGGAAGGCGAGAAACGGCAGGAGGAGTGTACAGGAATGTTCCGCATCCCGTGGCACATCGGTGGCCATGATTAGTTTCGCAACCCCTTTCCTGAGGCGACATTTTTTAAAGTGCCATCATGTCTCTGACAAATTAGTATGTGCCGCAGGTATAAAGTTTGTGGAACACTGGCATACAGTCACACAGTATATTTCTGTAAAGGAACGAGGCACTCTCAAAAATTTTAGAACATTTATAATATGTGGGAAGAATGCTTAATAGCTTTGATTGAATTATTGTTGAACTACTAATCGAAATTCAAGTGCAAATAATCTTAGAGGCTAGATCCACTTAATCGAGATGTCTGAAATCGGAAAAAAAATTGAGAAGCAGGCGACAGACATGTGATGATAGAGACAAACAAAGATATTTTAGACAAAATGGAAATATACATAAAAATTATACTGCTTAAAAACGGGGATCTACGTGAAAGATACTTACATAAACAGAGATTATAAACCAGCGTAACGAAAAATACGATACGGGCAAAAGATAAATACTAATGAACAAAAGCTAATCAAAGGTATAAGAAAGGTTAAATTCTTGAATTATCAAAATAGAAAGACGGCTTAAGGAAGCCAGGAACATCTCAATCAGAGCAGCATATAACCCAATGACATACGTCTTACCATTGAGATAACCGTCTTTAACGGATTTATTTTAGTAAAAAGTTTGGAAAGTATATGAATTACTTTAATATTTTCATCCACAAGAGATACAGACCATTCGCACAATAATGCAAGACCGATATAATTAATAATTTGTTATTTCGACTTTTGACATTTAATGAAACATTGTATTAATATAATAGATCCCGGCACTAGAAGGCTTATGGTGCAAGTTCCAATTTCTCTTATGTACAAGTATCTGAAGAGTCTCTCCAACTCAAGGCTTTGCCAATGTCTTTCGTGTTAAGCTTTTATTTGTATGCTCTGTCCAGTGTGAAAGGTGTGTACAGATTGGAGACAACCATGCAATCAATGCAAATGGAAAGGAGTGGAAGTTTGAGTGTCGCAGGACAGAGTTTCTGGAAGTGCTGGCTGAGACGTTCCCAAACAGAACTGGGCGCAGTTCTGCGACGAAGATACTGTCTGCTAAGGGAGGAGTCATGGGGAGATTACAAATTCTCTCGTAATAGGCAATTGATGCTATGACTAGATTCAGAATCTCAAAGCTCTTTAAAAGTTCAGAAAAGTTATTATTGCTTTTATATGAATGCCAGTGTGAGTGACGTGAATTGGGCAGAAAATTGTTAAAATCTTGATCAGAGTATAAGTTGTAAGCATTCTTTTTATTTTTATAATTCCATTCTGATTAAAAACCTCGGCAGGGAAAACATTTTTCAAGGGAAGATTCAAACTAAGTTTCTCGAAAATGTAATTTAGAAACCTGGCCTCTGTGCAAAGCTGGCAAGTCTTGACTGGGTCGAGACACTTCCTCGTTCGAGTAGCTAAGACGCATTAACTCAAGACAGCAGGCCAGATGAAATCGTTTAATGTGCCCACAGCTGTGTGAATTTCACTGAAAATCGTGCCCACTGTTGCATTGCATGCAACAGATTTAACGAATTTATGCCTACATTCTGTCATGCGATTCGTCCTACATACTTCCTGAGGCTGCTGGCTTTGATAAGTACGAGCCTTTCGTGAGTAAGAACGCGTAAGAAATGTACGAGATCGAGCGGGGAAACATGGGTAATTTTACCCTGTTTACGGTAATTTGTTTTTAAATACCTTTACTCAGGAAATGGTCCCCTGGACGTATCTGCTGCATAGAGTATAAGTTTAACTAACTAACTAGATGGCTTACCGAACTCGAAGGTTCATCACCGAATTAACCAAAGCCCGCCACCGGACCCTGTCTTGGGCCAACAAAATCCAGTTTCCTTCAACTCCTATCTCCCATAGATCCCGCCTGAGATTATCCTCCCATCTACGTCTAGGTCTCCCCAGCGGTCTCTTCCATTCAGGTTTCCCAACCAGTACCCGGTGCTCACCTCTTGTCCCATTCATGCGCGCTACATGTCCCGCCCATCTCAATCTTCTCGACTTAATCACCCTGACAATACTGGGGGAGCAGTACAGATTTTTAAGCTCGTCATTGTGCAGTTTTCTCCACGCCCCATCGTCTTCCCTCTTAGGCCCAAATATCCTCCTCAACACCCGATTCTCAAACACCTGCAATCCGCGTTCCTCCCTCTGAGTGAGTTTAGGAATAATATTTAATAAAGATGAAATTTTCAGTGTGCCAAGAAGATATTAAGGA